CATATATCTCATTTTGAGATAATTGAGTTTAATCATTTGTTTTGATTTTTGGACTGATCCGAATTAACCAAATTTCACGATTTTGATTGGTTAAAAGTAACAGGCGACTATCGGGAATATCGTAATGTGCTTGGCCTCGTATAATTTTTCTTCTACATTATCTCTATTTTTCATTGACTTTCATTTATAATTGAAAAATGTCAATCATGAATCTAATAAAAACTCATTTTTTTAAAAAATGTAAAATGGGCCCTTTTAGTTGACGACACTCCATATGCACATTATTGCAAAAAATCATTCGGTCAATTTTTTTACCAGATGTCCCAAAAATAATATTTTCAACCTTTGACCCGGCCGGGTTATGAAAACAAATTTATTAATTTTATATGACCCAACCTTTTTACTAACAGAAATTTTAGACCTGGTTTAGAGTTAGGATTAGGCAGATTTATAGCTAGTGTTGGCTATAGATTTATTGTTAGTGAAATTGCTATTAGTGAATTATACCAAAACTATTTATATATCGATATATAAAGTCTCTTTAATAAAGAAAAAAAACAAGATTGCTTAAGTGTAAAAAAAACCCAATAAAAATTACTACTTTAAAAACTACATTTGACGAACCTTAATTATAGTACTAACGCTATAAAAATAAAACAATATTCAAAAGCACGAATCGTAAAAAAAAAATTATCATTGTTATATCGATATATTATTAAATATTCTGCACTATATTTTATAACGAATTTTTTTAATTAATAGGCCGTGTCCATGGTCGACTGTAGTAGAATACCTGACTTATATCAAGAGTAAGCCTTAACGTTAACGTTAATTAGTGAACAACACGTTCTCTACAATCAGCATAATAGCAATAATGGAAGTTGGTTTTGATTGGCCAAAAAAATGATCGACATTTTATAACAAATTTTGATTGCTCACGTGAAGTCAGAAACTGTCGTTTTAAAATGCCAAAAATTTAACGTTAATGTAATTTCTTTGTGTTACATACTGGCATTGTCAGAATCGCTTCTAGTAAAAGTTGATAGAGAACTTGATCTCACTTGATCTCAAACTTTTTATAAAAGCTATATTTTTAAAACAATCTGGCGAAATTTTAGGTAACCTTAATTATAAAAAATTTTGACTTGTTCCAGTTCGAATTAAATTTTCTATTGTAAACCCATATAAAAAGTTCGTGTAACGGTATTTTTCAATAGAAAATAAACGTATAAATAATAGGCATAATTATCTACAAAAAAATTAGCCAATCAAATGAAGCCTTCTATGACTTCTTAACGTTAATAAATCGATATTGGCTAAAATCAAAAAATAATTTTTTTGTTGCTTTCGCCAAAATGGATACTCTCAATGACATCGCAAAAGAATTTATTAATTATTATTATGGCTTGTTCAGTTCAAACCGAAGTCAACTCGGAACTCTTTATGTAAGTTACATATTTTAACAAAGATACTTTGACAGGAGGCTTTTTTTCAAATGAAAAGGGAAACATTTCTTGAAAATATTTTTGTCTTGTAGACAGAACGTTTTTACTTAAGATTGAAAATATTACACTTCTTTAATAATTATATCATTTTTCTGAGAGCGTGGATCCCACGCAAACATTTATGTTTCTAAGGATAGGCAATAATTTTTTGGATAACCGATATTCTTATGATTTTTGATAGAGAAGTCAATCGATGCTAACTTTCGAAGGACTAAAGTTTCAAGGTGCAGAACTTATCATTGAAAAATTGACGGTAATAAAAAATTCTAGATTATTGCAATTATAATAATCCATTCAAAATATTAATTAATTTACATTTGTTAAAACTGATCAGTCACTTCCTTTTCAGCAAGTTCAGCACAGAATAGCTACCATAGACGCTCAACCGAGTCACCCGAGTCTTAATGGTATTTTTGTTTGTGTTACTGGCGAATTACTGGTAATGTTTATTATTTACCAAGATTGATTTTTCGTCTATAGTTTATTTGGTTTCAAAATTTCTGAAAATAATTGAATTCATGATAGATTGACCAAGAAACTAATCCGACAAGATTTACACAAGCCTTTCAACTTATTCCTGATGGCACATCCTACTTTGTTCTTAATGACATTTTCCGCCTGAATTACGGTTGAATAAAAACATTATAGTCAACTTTATTTATATCAAACTTCTATATACCGAACTCTGCCTAATGTCAGAACAAATAACCTACATTTATTTACATTGGATCAACCAACTTTTATTATATAATAAATTTGCTAAAACCGAACTTAATTGGGTCAGTACATATTTTATGTAACAAACATTCATATTAGAATCAATTTATACAAGAACATATAGCGTATTATACGTGCTTATTAATAAAAAAAAAGTTGGACTGATCACTTTCTAACATTAGTCAAAAAAAAAATTAATTTTGAGTTTTAAATTTAGGCTTTATTAGGTCGCAGAAGTAGTTTAGGTTAAATTTTGAGTTACAACCGATTTTTTGAAAAAAGGCATTATTTTGATTCTCATCAACTAATTTTGTGCAAGAAAAAAATCTCAAGTCATATCATCTAGACTTAAAAACATAATGGGTAGGGTTAGAGGCACGGAAAAAATTTTGGGCATGTCTCTGGTTATTCTGATTTAAGGGCATGCCCTATAGACATGCGATTTTTACAGGGCAATCTCGCCTATATTAGCTCTATTTGCTATTATTTAGCTTAAAAATTTCGCTAGTCACATGTGACCAATCAAAAAAAAAAAATTCGATTTTTTTAATTGTAGCCATAGGCTACATTCCAGGGGCGACCGTCCTATCAATTTGAAGATCGTTACACAATTTAT